AATGGGGAAGGGGCATTAAGGAATCTACTCCTGAAATCACTGTTGCGCTATATACTAATGTGGATGCAAATTAAAAAAACTAAAAAATTAAAAAAAAAAAAAAAAAAAAAAAAAAAAAAAAGAGTCACATACTCCACTGAGGAAGCCAGCCAGGCACCCCAGGAAAGAAGCAACTGTGATATAAAGATCATGTACAAATTAATGAGAAAATATGTAATTGAGCTTAAAAAATTACACACATCCATGACATGTGTTGGAAACTAATCTTCTTTGACTAAGAAAATGACCAAACCATTCAAATTAAATGTCATACAGATAAAATTTAGGCCTGAGACTCCTTTTCAGCTCTGGACACCGGCAAGAGCGTGCAGGCGTGCGGAGACAGAGCTTCATCCCCATCAATTAACCAGTTAATATTTAGCCTCCTTTTTTCAGCGTAAGACACAAGAGACTCATGCGCACTTCAAAGTGCACTCAATCCTACTAGGAGAGAAGATATTACAAATGAAACAATTACAGGATAGAGAAGAGCATATATTTAGCTGCTCCTTCTTTGTGTGTGTGCAACAGATCATGTATACCACTGGTTCTCTCATCTCAAGAAGAGCCTTTTATCTTCTTAAGAATCTCTGATGCTCTTAAGAAGCTGTTTTTATGCGGATTATATGTAGTGGTATTTATTACATTACAAATTAAAGCCAAGAACAATTTAAAACACAAGAGCACCACGCATTCTGTGAGCTGCCAGAGCAATGAAATGATCGTTGACCATGTAGCCTCTGGACGACTCTACCATACGGTGGTACAGGAGAAGGAGGATAAAAATGAGACTTTGAAAACCACTGGGATGTGTGTGCACGTACGTGTACACACAGACACGTAGATGTAAGTTAGTAGCATTATACTTGCTTAGCATTCAATGATAAACTCTTAGCTGCTGTTTATACCTCAGCTGTTTTTTTCTGATTCTGTCTCCTTAATCTTTTTGGCTGGGTCTTTTTGGCTTACATCCTTGAATTCACCATTTAAAATTAGATGGTAGAGGGGCACCTGAGTGGCTCAGTCGGTTGAGTGTCCAACTTTGGCTCAGGTCATGATCTCGCGGCTCGTGAGTTCCAGCCCCCATCAGGCTCTGGGCTGACAGCTCAGAGCCTGGAGCCTGCTTTCGATTCTTTGTCTCCCTGTCTCTCTGCTCCTCCCCTGCTCATGCTCTGTCTCTTAAAATCAATAAACATTAAAAAAAATTTTTTTTTAATTAGATGGTAGAGTCAGTCCTACAGAAAGTTTCCCAAGTTTGTTGATGATCAAAGGACAATATAATTTGGTTCCTTACGGTTCACCTAAAATAAAGTTAGTCTTCTCATCTCAAATAGTTGCTAAGATGATTGTTAGAAATTAGGGAAATAAAGCTTACGTGACATTGTAATAATATTCATAATTGAAAAACCACGGTTATAGTTTAAAAAGCAACTAAACTCATTTGTTATTTTTGTTTCACTTTCTAGATTCAGGTTTGTTGTATATGACCAAAGTTGTTTTAGAGGCTTATTCTTATTTTATTTACTTTTTTTTTTGGAAATCTTTATTTATGAGGGGGTGGGGGGGGAGAGCACACACAAGCAAGCAGAGGAGGGGCAGAAAGAGAGAGAGGGAGAGAGAGAATCCCAAGCAGGCTCTGCACTGTCAGCACAGAGCCAGGTGCGGGGCTCAATCTTGTGACCTGAGCCGAAATCAAGAGTCGGACACTTAACCCACTGAGCCACCTGGGCGCCCTGAGACTTATTCTTAATTTTAAAAAATCTTGAAAGATTCTAACAATTCTCTCCTGTCCCTTTAGTCACTGAATTGACTTTTAGGAAATCCTGATATAAAGATACCAAAGTGCGGCCACGTCATCAACTGAACTTCAGGTGCTTCGCGAAACATGTACGTTGCCCCTGTACAAAGACCGCAGAACCAGCTATGACTCTCTGCACTACGGGTTCTCTCTCCCCAAAGAGGACTTGAGTGCAATTTTTTTTTTCACTGAAATTTTATTTCCTGTCAAGCAGCCAGACCAGTACCCTCCTTATCTGGAACTTGGTGGAAGGCTTCAGGTTTCCCTTGAGATGTTTCGACAAACAAGGTTGTACTAAAGAATTAATACTGATGTTTTGGTAACTTGCTATTGTTTTCTGTGGTGTTACTCAACTGGCTTGTGAATTACACACTATAATGAGAATAAATATTTTCTTAATATACTCAGAAACCTCTAGGTAGACTCAAAGCACTCTGTGTATTACAGTGAGAAGAAAAACGCATTCCTGATTTTAAGCACTTATTTAAACTCATTCAATCTCCACTGCTGCATGTAGACCCTTTCCTTTTCCTTTTCCATCTTTTTCAAATACGTGGTCTAAAGCATCAGTCTAGGACACAGAGCTTTATGTGGCTGGTGACAGAGACATTTAATTAAAATTTCTAGGGAGGGAAAAAGGAAACACATTTATTTTCCCAGTTAGTGACCAATTTAAAAGAGAGTGACAGGGGCGCCTGGGTGGCGCAGTCGGTTAAGCGTCCGACTTCAGCCAGGTCACGATCTCGCGGTCCGTGAGTTCGAGCCCCGCATCGGGCTCTGGGCTGATGGCTCAGAGCCTGGAGCCTGTTTCCGATTCTGTGTCTCCCTCTCTCTCTGCCCCTCCCCCGTTCATGCTCTGTCTCTCTCTGTCCCAAAAATAAATAAACGTTGAAAAAAAAAATTGCCAAAAAAATAAAAGAGAGTGACAGTGAGGACGTGGTTTCAAATATGCACCTCGCTCATGGTGTTTTGAACACTGGGAATGACGAGTGAAAACAGCCGGTTACCTCGGAAGAAGAACATGTACTTACTTTTACGACTGCCATCGTGTTCCTCAATTGCCTTGCAGTGATTCCGTTACTGTCACTACCACTGAATCAGGGCCACCCACCCTCTTCAACTAACTCTAAGGAAAGGCAGCAAAATTCAAGTTCATAAATGCATTTGGAGTATGTTGTGGCATGGCTGCTAAAATGAGGACTGTCAATGACAGATTCCAAATGGAATTTTCCCAGCATTTCTATGGAGCAGATACTTCAGGAAATTCACTGTTACTTAGTGAAAGTCTCATGCAAGAAGAAGTCAGCAACTCTAAAAACTGTCAAGTTCAACAGTAGAGGTCATATGTCCGTTGGGAGTTCAACCTGTCCCGTCACTGCATAATCACCATGATTGGCGAATACCATTAAATACGACCCATTTTCTCAAAGAAATTGTCACTTTTCTGGTCTCTGATTACAGGAGGATGCTGCTGGCACAATGTCAAGACTAAATTCATTCAACACATTGTTGTGAAAGAAATGGCACAGGAGTACTACAGAAGCAAATGACAGTTGTATAAGAAATCACAAAACATTTACAGATGCATTGACTTCAAGCTCTCAATAAACACAATCTCCACTGCCACTCTGAGGCCCCAACTGAGGTTTCCAAGAAGTGATTAGGAAGAAATATTTTTCCCATAACAAGTCATGGCTCGGATAGAAGTGAGCTATTATGCTATTTTTTTTTTAAGTTGAGAATATTCAATTACGAAAAGATACATTTTTTTTTTTTTTTTTTTTTTTTTTTTTTTTTTTTGGTAAGAGAGAAATACTTTGGAATTACAAACTTAATACCTTAATGGGAATGACGGATCACAGCATCACACACACGCACACAATAAACACAAAACAAGACAAACAGCACGGGTCGGGTTGTGAACGCTCACGGCTATCTCTTGTTTGTCAGCGACTGCTACCCGGACCGGGTGCTGTTCCCACAGTCTCCTATCAGCACAGCCATTTAGAAATGAAACAAACCACAGGAAACAAAACAACTCTCCGGCTGTCTGGCATGCATCACCACTTCAAACTCAGAGCTTCAAAATTCTCTCATGAAGTTTCTGAACATCAACCCACTGAGTTGTCGTCGGGGGATGCAGGGAGGTCCTTATTAGACTTGATGGACAAGTTCTGAGGTTTATGACACGAGGATTTTTAACATCATCATCTAAGCCATGTTCCAACAAAATATAAGAAATGTTGCAGTTAGTGACACTGCTCTAAAGGAACTCTGAATGTTCTCTCCTTCCTGTTATAATGCTCATCCCCGACCTGCTCCCATTCTATTCTGTCATCATCCTCTGAAGTTAGGTGGTAATAAGCTCTTTATCTTTGAAGTGGGTGAAATCAAGGGAGTACATTAGTGCTGCTGGATTCTCTCTCCCAGGAAGTGAGAATGAGGACTTCATGACTCTAGTCAGGTGGCTGAAGACACGACCCTCACAGGACATGTTACAGCTTGGGAGGGAGGAAGCTGGAGTGGCTGTTTTAGGTCCCAGTCAACAAATAGGGAAATCTGGCCGACAGCAGCACAAGAATAATACTGAAGCAAAAGGAAGCAGAGCCTCGAAACTAAACTAAAGCCTCAGCAAGACAAAATATTCTTGAATCCAAAAGGCTTTTCAATTTCAGGTTCTGGTTCTCTGATATCTAGGTGTACCTGTCCCCCTTGAGTTCAGTGAGAAACCTTTGCATAGTTTCTATAAAACTGCTCCTTGTGCTTTTATGTAATTAGTTTGAGTGGGTTTCTTGCCTAAGGTAACAAGTCCTATTTTTTTTTCTAAGTAGGCTTCACGCCCGGTGTAGAGCACATGAGGCTTGAACTCACAATGCTGAGACCAACACCTGAGCTGAGATAGAGTTGGATGCTTAACCGACTGAGTCACCCGAGCGCCCCGCAAGAGTCCAAATTATTAACAATCACTGGCTTAGGTTTGACTTCTTTAACCACTTGATAATAATCATTTAAAGTTCTTCCTTGATTTGCGACATCACTCCTTTCTCTGCACAGTAGAGGCGTCATGGCCATAGACAGACACTGAGAAGAGAGGAGTACTGTTTCTTACAAACCTAACCATGAAAGGAAAACCTCTTGCTGACAAAGTAAGGTAACTACTTACGTAATCTGGTAGAGGAACATCATTGGAACTCAGTGAACCTCTCAAGGACTGTGTGGCTTGTTCCAGAACTTTGTTGTGTTTTTTAGACAGCAAGGAAAACAAACTGAAAAAAAAAAAAAAAAAAAAAAAAAAGAATGAGTATCTCCTTTTCTAGGTTTTATACAGAATTATACAGTTCCACAAGACGTCAATTATTCTAAAATATACATGTAATGACTTTTTTCATGCCTGTGTTAATAGCAGGATTAGTAATACTACTACCAATAAGACAAAAAATGAAGTGAGGAGAATGTTTAAATTATAAGGAGTCTAAAGCATAAGAAAAGTTTGACAACTTAAAGACCGTATTTCAAACACGGGATAATTTTCTTTCCACAGTAGTGGACAGAGATTCAGACAGTCTGGGATATGAACGAACTTTATGAGTAACTTGGAACGTAATCTATTACTAGTCACTTGAACTTGTATCTCAATGTTCTCATCTTTCATATAAGTGTGTTGGGTCAGATTATTTTTCTAATGTAATACAGTCTATCGCTTATCACAGCTTTACATTCTTCTCAAAAATAAGGACTTTAAATACATTTATTAGATTTCCACTTCTGGCCATGATGGGTTAACTGGTACCGAACAGCCTTCCTGCTATTAACACCTAGGAAAACTGGACGAGATACACGAGACAACATTTTCCAGATGTCGTACAACACCCGCAGGGCAGGACCGTGGTCCCTACGAGAGAGTGTGCGCCTAGACCAGCCTTCCGGACTGTGGTATGGAAAGCTGGCACCCGGCAGCATGCAGCAGCGTCGTGCTGCGCTGAAATCACAGAGGGAAGGACTGGCGGCTGCGTGGCAGGTGGAATTTGCAGGCAGATCATTAGACTGGAGAGAAACGCAAGAGGGAGGTCCAGAAACCTGCCCAAGGGTCTTCTCCATTTGAGGTTTGGTTCTGTTTGTCCTTTTGAGGTTGAAAGCGAACCTCACGCTCGCCGTTCACACCCATTTGCCACGACGCGCTGGTAGCCAGTACGGAGCAGCACTGCGTTATCTGTGATTCCAGAAATGTTATATGCGACAAGGCATGTATATGAATGAATACTGTGCACACACATCTATCTCTCTTATTCCACCACCCAATGCGCACAGTTTTGCACCTCATACTTTTTTGCATTTCTTGATCCATTCAATAAACATTGAGTGCTGTAACTTGGTTATCCAAACATCCGGGTATATCATAATTTAACTAGTCTATTATTAATCATTGCAACGCCTCCACTTTCATTTCGTTATTTTTCTATCAATGGCACTGTGCTGAACACCCTTCTGTATAATTTTTAGCATACTGACGTGCGACTATCTACTGGATAAATTCCTTGAAGTGAAACTACCGAGTAAAAGAATAATGGAAAAGAATAGAACAGTGAACTGTGTAGCAGTATACATTTTTCAAATATACAAGTTATTTTGTAAATAATGAAAATAAAAGGCAAAAATATGTTGGGATAGTGTGTAAAGTATATCCCCACGGAAATGCATAAAGAGAAAAATTGGTAAGATTCTTTTGCTTGCGGTACATTTCAGGAACAAATGGAATTTGAGAGTTTTCTGAGACTGAAAGAATTTGCATGGTTAGTTCTAGCATAGAGAATGGCAAGACTCATAGGCCTGAACCGAATGCCCGCACAAGAAGGGAAAGCAATAAACGCTCCTGGAAGAAGTGAGCTTCCCGGTGTGAGGAGAAGGGGGGGCCACTGAAGAAGACAGCACACTCTATTGAGTTCACAAAATACCAGAACTCGGGAGCTGCTTAATGGGTTCAACAAACTGGGGGTTCTGTCCATGCCCTGAGCACATCTTCAGACGACAACAGAGGTCATCTAGGGTAACTTCCATCAAACCTGAAGAAACTCATTAAACGAGCGGTAGGAATCAAAGCAGAAAGGATTTGGAATGGTTTCCTTTGGAGAAGAAAGGCTAGTTCGTTTACTTTAAAAGTGAATACCAACAACCCGTTCTCCTTGTTAGAAGAAGACAAAACCAGGAAGTGAGCTTCGATGCAAACACAAACTCTTTCCGCTGGGCATGATGGGAAATCTGAGCATTAAGGGCAGAAAATGTTGCAATGGTCCACCTCAAGGAGCTGTGGCCACCATTCCTGGCTGCTCTTAAGAAAGCTGCTTTGGGAACAGAGGAGTTGAGGTTACTTCCAGCTTTCTATCGTGAAGGAGAAACCGAGAAGTCACGCTTACTTCAAGTTGTTATTCTTCTACAATATAACAGGCTTTCCCCTCAGGTCTTAACCGCCACAGAGCTTTCAACTTCTTTTTTTGTTTTTTTAAACATTCTATTTCTGGCTCGCATTTAACATTTTTAAGGCAAAATGACCTAAATTTATATGAGACGTGGCTTGCAGATTGCTGAGAAAAGTAATGTCTGCTGAAAGCTTTGCAACCAAAGTACTAGCCCTGGCTTAATGCTGGTCAGAGAACGCGGTAAAGACGTAGAGGGTGTTTGCATGTAAAGGGGTAATTGCTGGCTTTCAACTGTACTATTCACTGAGGATATGGCTGCCACAGTGCTTGTTTTTAAAAGATTAGACTTTTCTTTTTATACAAGAATGTTCACTACAAACTGGTTCACCACTGAAAAACTGGGAACAACCAGAACACTGAGGAAGAACGGAATGGGTAAATAAACTGTGGGATATTCATACAATGAAAAACTATGTAGTCATTTAAAGTTTTCTAAAGGTACACGCAATAATATGGATACATCTCAAAAACAATGTTGTTTGCTGGGCCCTTAGAGAAGAATGTGACCAAAAGAATATTATTTAAATAGTGTATTAAAAATGCAAAAATGATACTACCTGTCTTCTATGGATAAAACATTTGAATAAAACATATGGAAGTGATAAATACTACATTTAAGATAGCTATTATTCTCTGAGAAAGAAGGGAAGGAAATGGAATCAGAGAGGGGAAAAAATAAGGGATTTAGCTCTCTCTGCATCTTTCTCTCTCTTGCTTTCTCTCTCTCTACGTAAAATGTTGTTTTTGTTACGCTAGATACATACATAAGGGATTGCTGTATTTATCTCTTTGACGTATGCTTGAAATACTATATACATTTTAAAAACTGGAATAAAAAGAATACACTACCCTGAAGACAAGAGAGTTCCTGCTAACAGCCAACATTTTTTTTTTTAAGTTTATTTATTTATTTTGAGAGAGAGAGCTCAAGAGGGGTAGGGTCAGAAAGAGAGGGGGAGAGAGAGAGTCCCAAGCAGGCTCCACAGTGCTAGCACAGAGCCTGAGGCAGGGCTCGAACTCTTGAACCACGAGATCATGACCCGAGCCAAAGTCAGGCACTTAACCAACTGAGCCCCCCAGGTGCCCCGACAGCCAACATTTCAGCAAAGAAAGCAGCATGTGGATAGAATATGTACGGTGAGTCCAACATGACATAAGCTAAAAAAACCACCAGCTGCTGAAAAGGCTGCAGTTGAAGGTGCACAGCCAGTGATAGGAGATGAGACCAGAATGGAGATGTCTGAGACAGAATGTGAAGGATCAAAAGTCCGGGGCTTGATTCTACGTCGAGAAGAAGCTAATGGAACATCTGTCTTCCAAAATGATGAAAGAGACATGTTCCTTGTTCCCAAGGAGCTCAAATCTAAGGTGATAAGAAACAACAACAACAAAAAGTCTGCAATTCTGAAATTGGAGAACACCATGGGTCTTAAGAGTAGGCTGTGGGAACACAGAGGAAGGCTGGGTACATTTCGGAGGAAACCTACTTTCTGTGGCCTTGACGTTTAGGGGGTTGCTAGCTGGGAGATGTACAGGGTGAGGAAGAGGAACTCAGAAGGGGAAACAGCGCCCACAGAGGCACAGAGAGACTCGAGGGAAGTACCAAGGCCAGAACGACGCAAGTCCATGGGGTGAGCGGGGGCAAGAGAGAAGTTTAGCAAGACAGGGATGGGCTGTCAAAGAAAACATGCTAAGGGGTTTGCAGTTCATCTTGTCGAAGTCACTGAGGCAGGCAGGAAGTCAAATATTTACCAAGAACCTTCTATGTGCCGGGCAATGCGCAAGTTGCCTGGGGTACAGTGACATGCAAAAGCAACGTGGTCTTTGTCCTGCCCTCCTGGAGGAGGTGGTTGCGTTGGGGACAAACCTACACAGAAGGTTCTACCGTCAGTGCAGCGATGGAGATGGGCGTGGAGAGCTATGGGGACACAGATGAGGCTGCCCAGCTGCACCTGAAGGCAGGAACGGGAGGTCAGCCCTGGAGGTGATGCCTGAGCGGAATCCGAAGGAACACTTGGGAGTCGGCCAAGGAAATGGGGCAAAAGGGCAAAGGTCATCTGGACAGAGAAAAGAGCACGAGGGAAAGCAGACATCCAAGTGCAGGCAACAGGAGGGCACACACGCTCACCGAGTGTCACACGCGCGGCAGAGCACGGGGTTAAGGCTGGGCTGCCAGTGGGGATGGTTTATGAAGCGTCTCTCGTGTCTCACTTAGACCTTGGGCTTCATCCTGAATGCCAGCGTTTTATGACAGCAAGGCTACAACGGGAGAGGCAAAAGCGAAGCTGTTGTGTCTGGTGTTCAGGTGGGGAGTATGGGGCAAGGGATGGGCAGGAAGTGATCATTCCTTGTTCGTCTATGTCCTCAATCTCTCCCCAGTGCACTCTCATCCCACGGTGGCCAGGCAGTCCCTGCCACAGAACCCCAGGGCTCCAGGAAGCAAAGTCTGAAAACTAGAGCCCGAGGAGTGAGGCACAAGTACATAACTGCGTGCTTGCTGTAGAAAGATTCCTCCACCCCCAGAGGGAAGGACAGACAAGGGCTGCCAAGAGAACGGTCTAGAAGCAGATCCTTTAGGTAACTTCTACGCTGCCCAAGAGCAGAGGAGGTAACCGAGCTAAAGCAGTCTGAGCCACCAGGAAGGCAAAGAGACAACAGAGAGAGTGACCGAAAGGAAGTCATGGACGACTCCGAGGTTCCCAACTTGGGAAACAGCAGCTGGCTGAGAACGTGAATGTATGTGCTAGGAACGGAAGAGCAGAAGAGCAGGGAGAGGGCCCAGGAGGGCCAGG